TCAACGTGACGCTTCACACTGTGAACCAACCGCTGCAGTTTCATACAATTATTCTTTATTACGTTTTTCTCTATTTATTTATTTTAATGTAAGGTTACATGAACATTTTATTACATTCTCCACTTGATGGGATCTCAAGTAATAGTTTGTTATTCTGATTAAATCATAATTATTACCTGAATAATGGTCGTCTTTTAGTTTTTGGTTTTGTTTTTTTTTTCAGGTAAATCCATTCCATCTAAAGGTGGACATCATTTTTCTATTTTGAAGAAATGTCAAATATACAAAATTGTATGTAAATTGTGATTTAAAAAAAAAAAACTCATACTAAACTTTACATGATCTAAAATGAACAGATTAACAGAACATACAAAGATATGAACATTTATTACTAAAATATTTTCTACTTTGGGATTAATTTGAACCTTTTATTTGAGGTAACTGACGTGAAAATCAACAATGAAGTCATTTAACTAAAGTTTTCATAGAAACTAGTGAAATTATGTTAAAAATCAAAAGACGCAACAACAACAAAAAAACTGCAGAAACGTTTAATAGTCACTGATTAAACTCCTGAAACAGCTTCAGAGTCTCAGAAGCATCAGGATTACAGACGTAATGTGTGTCTACTGCCTACATTACCCACGATGCCCCTGGACTTACTGGAGCTGCTTCACGAGCCGAACTGGAGGTCTGACAGAATGACGGATGGATTCATTGAGTCTGTTCCTGGCTGATCATTCGCTCTTCTTCTGCCTCAGATACACGATCTCAGGTTGAAAATATTATTTGTAAATGTGAAGGACAGAAAAAGCTTCTTTCTGACTCCTGCAGACACTCACACACACACACACACACACACACACACACACACACACACACACACACACACACACACACACTCACACACACACACACACACAACCTGCACACAGACACACAACCTGCAGTGTGTCGCCTCCAGATGTGTTTAGTGAATAAAACCTAAAGACAGAAATATGA